AGGTTTATGTGCATGTGACCTGTAGAATAGGAGGTTTTTATCAAATTCTTTTCTTTTTTATTTCTTCGTTTTGAAGGAAAACGAGGACGTTCGGCAAAACTCGGCCGTGTACAGTAGAGACGTGCTGCCGATTCCCTAAATCCTGCTCTGACTCAACTCACTTCCGGTCGTAAATGTTTACAACCACGACGCTGCACGCCGCCAGTCGGGAAGAGGGAGGGGCTTCTTTATGTTGGGTTTCTTTTAGGGTTGTCAAAAAGTATGGATACTCAAAAAATTATTGATACTAAAACGTTGTATCTGGATGCGATACTCATTTTCTGATTTATTCATTTACGTTGTTTATGATCATTAACGTGACGTTAGCCTTGAATTGCTAGCTGTGGCTAATAGCTAATAACAACACGCCAACATTAATCAAGTCTGCAGGAAGCCATGGATGGAGATCCAACTCCGCCCACATCCAAGTCGGCCATTTTGATTAGGTCACCAATAGGAAGATCCTCCTAATTGCTTCATGGCAATATAGACATTAATTTAAGAATAGTGAAATGAATCTTGCAAACACTGAATTAAACTCCATAATATCCATAATATTATGTTAAAATAGTGGATGTTAAATAGTTTTGTACAATAAGTCCACACAACTTTAACCCAAAAATCTTTATTTCTCACAATTATGAAGGGTGAAGGGTTAGGGTCAGGGTTAGGATTAGGGTTATGGTTAGGTTAAGGGTCAGGGTCAGGGTTAGGGTTAGGGTCAGGGTCAGGGTTAGGGTCATTAATGTGGGCCACAATAACATCAGTAATAAGTTTGAAACGAAAAACACTAATCTGTCAAAATTCAGTTCAATTTTGGGGTCTTTGTTTTTATCCTTGTGGTATTTAAAATGGTATGGAATATTTTCCTGAGTATCGGTATCCAGTTGAACATTTTAGTATCGTGACAGCCCTGGTTTCTTTGTAGTTTTCTGCTGGGAAACGAGCGTTTTTGGGAGTTTAAACGTCGGGAGAGACGTCACATGACCCGCCTTCACCCTTTGCTTGCTGTTCATTGGCCCACGCCCGCAGACCGCCCCCCCCCCCACGCGTGGCCAAATCCACAAGTCAC